ATCCTTTCTCATGGTTATCGGGATTTATCTTCAAAAACATTTTAAAATATTAACAGTTTTTTGAACAATCACAGATAACTGGTCAAGAAGGGGCGTGGTCTCACCTCGGCCATGCCACGCCCTTTTGCGACCATCTTCCTCCTTTCTCGCTCATCCCCTCTCCAAGCAAATTTTCTGTTGTTGCAATTGGTCCTTTATAGTTCCTACATGCGCATTATGTATTTAGAAGCGGCTTCGGAACGAGCTGATTCTGAAAAATCAAAATTACCCTCAGATATCAAGGAAAAGCGTAAAACGTTCAAACAAATCAAAGCAGTTGCTCGTGGCAGATCACTTGACAAGCATGTAAGTTTACTCATCTATCTCCCATACCTTCCCGAAAAAAAACCTCACATATTTCCATTTAGGAGCGCCGCCACAAGAAAAAACATGCATCCATGGATCTTGACGAAACTCCATAGTTCTCTTCTTTGCCGACGCCTAAATCCTCATTTTTTCCGTTTGTAACTCTTCTTTTCCCTTTGTTTTTCTCGCTTTTTTTCTATCATTTCTTCTAATCGAGTGTATCGGTTTTTTTCTAGTACAGCATTAATGACGACTATTTAGCGACTCCGCTAAAGCTAATTTTCTCGGATAATAAATTATTTCCCTGTTTTCTTCTTTCGACTTCTTATAAAATTGTTCGAGAATGTCCATGACGTAGTAAGTATTATTTTGTACATAAGTACTTGTTGTTTTATATAGAAACACGTATTCTATGTATGTTATGTCACTTCATCATTCTCAAACATCGAGTTTGGCTAGATTCGAGTGCCTTAAAAGGTCACGTAGTAATAGATGATGTTTTCTATCTATGCAGACATGATTAATAAATATGATTGTATGCGTTTCAGTGTAAATTATTCAAACTCTGAAAGGCAAGAGCTGAGACCTCATGGTTCTGTTTCGAAATGGAACTTGTTTTGGAAAAGACAAGAAGGTCAAGATTTTTTGTAATAAAAGATATTTATAACCTCTTTTGATCCATCTTTCATTCAAACTTAAATTGCTTCTTAACATTTTTCAAGATTTCCCTGGCATTTCTTTTCAAGAGCGAATTCTGGTTGATATGTTTCTCTTAGAAACTAACTTATTGTTTCAGAATTTAGATAATCATTTATCCATATATTCGA